TCCCAACACTGCCTATAGCAGCACAAATGCAGAAAATAGCGCAGGATAACCAAAAATTTTTGGAAGAGGTATAAGAATGATAGAGCCACAGTTTAGCCAAGGTAGAGCCAAGAAGAAAAGTCAATCCAGACTGAAATTGTTGCTAAAGCTCTTCAGGGCAGTAGGGTTGTCATGAGTGTCAATAAAATTTTAAACTCGATATAAATACTGAGTACTCGATACCATTCTCTATACGTTGGGAATAAAAATATGCCAAATAAACCATCCATCTGCTCCCACTTATTCCATCAGGGTCGCGGTTTGGCCGGTATCTACCTCCAGCAGTCTTTGGGCGAGAAGTACACCCTGGACAGATCACCAGTCTATAATAAAACAACACAGAAACACACATAGACAAAAAACTATGCAAGCCAATTAAACCAACAGTCATGTTTTTGGACTGTGGGAGGAAGCCGGAGTACCCGGAGAGAACCCACACATGCTCAGGGAGAAAATGCAAACTTCATGCAGAAAGGCTGGGAATTGATCCCTCTGGTAGCACCCTTGCTGCGAGGCAAGATTGCTACCAACTGCTCGACACCCTGCCAAATAGTGTTTTATCCGGATACCAAATTTCAGTATCCATGCTTTTCAGAGTGTCAATAGTTTTGACATCCCTATATATTGTCCGATATCCGATATCTATCAGCCAGAATATATAAAAATGAACTTGGACATACACAGGATATGCACTATCCAACTATAGTCCAACTCAAATTTTTATAATAACCAAAAAAAAACTTTAACACTGCAGATATGGGATATGGTTGCAGTAATTCATGTTTTTAGTCTGCTTATTTTCAGCAAAACCAGATTGATAAGGAGTCACATTCAGGTCACATTTGTTTGCTCCAATCAAATTTTTTCGCAGAGATGAGGGATCTTCATGCATAACCTTAAGAGCTGAACGAATGAAGCGACACTTATTGTTCGCCTAACAGTTTGATTTTAGCCATGGTAACAAATTAAATAGCAACAGATGCTAAGAAAAGCCACAACAACTTGCGCTTTTACACTCTTGCTGATCCGTTTTCAAAGATGAAATCGCAGATTCATACCAAACAGATGTGACAGCAGCAGGTACATGTAAGTCCTCAGGTATTTTGTTACAACTGTAGGCACAGCAGCCCTTGTTTTCATCACAGCTGTATGTTCTGCCCTAAGCTATACAGTAATGCTGCAATGTGATTAGCCGACCTCCTTTGGGTCTGCCTCAAACAGTTGAATCAGGAGTGATTTCTGGCAAAAATTTTAATCAGATGAATTATTGACCGGCAAAAACTGTGATGCTCAAAAATATATGAATCCCTGATTGAAACATTTCTAATCGCATGGAGCGGAATGAGTGCTTGCTCTACGTCACAGGCTCCTCCGGTAAAGGAAACGTCATTTCCGATATTTCTCTCATTTAAAGTCTGAGCTTAAACATGAGTCAGACCCCGGATAGGTCTAACAAACTTATCAGGACTAACCTGTGATGTAAGCTTGATTTGGGATCACAGCTATCTGACTTTCTACTGATAATCCAGGGTGTGCAGAGATTGCCAGCTGAACTTATTCTTCCCACTTTCTACAAAGGAACCCTTCGCTCCCACTTTCCTTTTTATTCATTCAGAAATATCCCAGAAATCCAAGATAGACATATGCTGGGAGACACCTTAAATGATGAACAACGGGTTTGAGGGTGATGGTGTAACTAGCAGGAGAAAGGATATATGTTTTAACTGCCCTGGCTAACATCTACGTTATCAATTGATCAAGTCACCTTAATAATGCCATAAAACTCTCAGCTTATTATTGTCCAATTTTTAGCAGTACTAGAAAGAGTTTGGGAGTTTCTTCATAAGCATAAACAGACAAGACTAATATCAGACACGGCTGATTAAGTGTAGCATACAGTAAGATCAAAATAAATAGAAAAGTGAAAGTTTTGAGGTTTATTTACATCCGCAGAGGAAACTGAAAAGAAAAGCATCTGATCAAAATGGAAATGTTTTGATAATTTATGCTA